CTCAAGTACCTCCGCTCTATTTCTCTGGCAGTCTCGGCGTATGACCTCCCTGGTGCCTGGGTGTACTCTCTGAGCCTCTTCCTGTACAGCTCAGGCGTCAATCTGAAAGAATGCAGTACGGTATTCTTCACGGCCTCGTAACTTGTATACTCATTGAGATCCAGCATGTTATATGCCTCCCATGCCTCGCCAGTCAGTCTGCTCTGGACCAGTTCCGCCCAATCCGCTTCCAGCCATTTCTTCAGGGTCACGACCCTTTCAAAATGGTTGAAAAAACCCTCGACTCCATGAGGTACGAAAACTGGCAGGTCTCGTTCCTTCACCCGGTGGGTATCCTGCTGCCTGGGTGGTGGTGGGGTCACCCTGAGCTCCGCCCGCCTCAGCTCGACCTCCTTGTTGGCCTCTGGGTCATTCCATCTCAAATCACCAAAAAGTTACCTATGGCTCCCACTCGACCCTCTCCAACTGTCATGAAATTTTGTAGTAAGATAGCCCTAGACCCCAAATGACACTTTGCAAAATATTAGAACTCGATCTGCTTTGGTTCTTAAATAACAGGTCCATATTGAATGGGCTCTCGTCCCGTTAATGCGTAAATACCACAAAAATGACTAACTTTGACCCTGCGGTAAATCACGGCTAGTGCTCAGAGAGGTGTGAGTGGCTAGCATTGCCTAGCTATTTATTAGGCGTGGCCCCTAGGAGATGGGGTTGTCAATCTTTTAGATTGGTAATGGCTCAGTCACCATGGACCAAAGCAAGGATTACACTAATAATGGATAAATTTGCCTTCTGCAAATTGCCTTGCTCTGGATTTGACAGCCTGTAATAGCCTACAATATACGTACACCTCACATATAAAAGTGTCATTTTCAGTCCTGTGGCTGAACTAGGAATTCAGATCCCAATCTAAAAAAAATGACTTTTTTACAGAAAAATCTGCTCTATCCAATGGTGTCATTCAAAACCAAATTGGGAATGACGTGTACTGAGATATTTTGAGATATATTGGCAGTGATATTAGCATGGATTGGTAGCTGAATGGCTACCCAAACTACATTTTTGATTACACTGCTGTATTCCGCACCAAAAGTTGCCCTGGTATGCCAAATTTCACACACCTCTGGGCACTAGTCGTGATTTAACAAGGGTCAAAGTTGATAATTTTTGTGGTATTTACGCATTAACGGGATGAGAGTCCATTCCATATAGACCTGTTATTTAAAAACCAAAGCAGATTGAGCTCTAATATTTTGCACATTTTCATTTGGGGTCTAAGGCTACTTTATTATAAAATTTCATTAGATTCAGAAAGGGTCGAGTGGGAGGCCTTTGGTGAATTCACATGAATGACCCCTCTAGCTCCTACCGACGTAACTGGATTTGGGCGTCATGCTCTTTCCGTCGTTATTGCACTTCCCACTCTACCCGTTTCAGCCGTGCCTCTCGCTCTTCCCGTTGCAGCTGTGCCTCTCGCTCTTCCCGTTGCAGCTGTGCCTCTCGCTCTTCCCATTGCAGCTGTGCCTCTCGCTCTTCCCGTTGCAGCTGTGCTTCTTGCTCTTCCCGTTGCAGCTGTGCCTCTTGCTCTTCCCGTTGCAGCTGTGCCTCTCGCTCTTCCCATTGCAGCTGTGCCTCTCACTCTTCCCGTTGCAGCTGCCACTCGTGCTCTTCCCTCCTCAGCTGCACCTCCAGCTGCATCTTCATCATCTCCAATCTCACACTTATGCTACCGCTGGACCCCCCTGCTGCTTCCTCCATCGCTCCGGTCCCCACCAACACTGGCAGGTGCTTGGGATGGTTCTTCCCTAGTGGCCTCTTCTCGTGCTTTGAGCTGAGCCATGATCTCTATTCGTCGCTCCGCCACCTTGGATGACCTCAACTTTATGCCAAAGTGGTCCACCACTAGCTGCAGCTAGTGGTGGACCTTAGCCACCTTATCATCCTCCATCTCTAGGCTATTTAGTGAGTAATTGGTCGAGCTCAAGCACCCAGCTGGCGACCTTGATTGAGGGAGAGTAATAAGGTAAGGCTTTACCTGTGTATTTCCCCAGTGTCATGGCGGGCAAATCCAACTGAGAGTAACAGAGGAGAGGTAGGATTTTCCCACTCGCCATGGGGTGCAATTCAAGGCCAGCCCTTGGTAGACTGGGGGGGCCCCAGGGCGAGCAGTGGCACCCAGGTACAAGGGGGGTGAAGACCCACGGAAATAACTTTAACTATATGAGAAAGGAAAGGGGGCGAAACATGACAGTGGCAACCTTGCCAGGATATCAAGTGACAGTGTTGCCAAGGATCGCGAGTGCAGTGACAAGGGTACAAAGGTCGATATTGAGTACCGATTTTGGTCTGTGATTTTAGTTTACACTGCTCGCTAGTGTATTTCCCGGGTGTGCAACTCAAGCCCTTGGTAGACTGGGGGGCCCCAGGGCGAGCAGTGGCACCCAGGGGGCGAAGACCCGCGGGAATAACTATATAAGGAAGGAAACGGGGACCAAACGTGACAGTGGCGAACCGAGACAGGAAAGATATAGGGGTGGGACACCGTCACAGTATGTATGTATATATGTACAATATATATATATATATATATATATATATATATATATATATATATATATATATATATATATATATATATATATATATATATATATATATGTATGTATGGATGGATGGATGTATGTATGTATGTATGTATGTATGTATGTATGTATGTATGTATGTATGTATGTATGTATGTATGTATGTATGTATGTATGTATGTATGTATGTATGTATGTATTTATATATATATATATACATTTTCTTTCAGAGGGGTTCCGTTCCGTTCGCTGTTGATGGAGCGCTGGGGGAGCAGCTTGCTCTGTTGGCTCTCGCTTGTGGTTGTCTTCTGGCCTCTGGTGGCGTCGGGCGGCTTCTCCCACTTTAAGGGGTTCGGGGCTGGCAGGGTGGGCTTCTTCCTCTGCATTTCATCATGTCATCTTGGTGTGGGTACGTTTAGACGTGGTTGTTCCACCCCATCCTTCCGAGGTTCCCACCTGTGCAGACATGGGCCTTGCGGTTCTTCTGGACTTACACAGTCTGCACCCTGGATTCTTTGCCCTCTTCGGAAGACTGTTGTTTCTGGTCCGGCTTCAGTTGGGGCCGTGTGCCTGGATGGTGTCCCTGGACCTCCGGGTCACTTCTTGGCACTTTCCTTTCTAGGTTTCCGGGACTGGCACAGTTGGTGGTGGGGTTTCAGGCTTGCCGATTTTGTTGCTTTCCCTAGTTTGTCATTGGCACTTAATGTCTTTACACATCTTTACCGGATCTTGGTGACCTTTTGCGTCAGCTCGGGATTCAGTTTCTGGCCTTCCTCGACGACTGGCTGGTGTGGGCTCCAGTCGGTCCACTTGCCTGCTCGCCAGGGGTGTGGTTCTTTCCAGATTGCTGGGTCACAATTCTGATTTCAGGTGATCTGGAGGCCACTCCATCTGGGTCCGTCCCGGGGTTCGAACCTGGCTGGGCTTTGTTTAGGACTCTTGGACCTCCTCTTTGTCTTTCCTTCTAGAAGCGTTGCTGCGGTTGCGGTCCTGCCTTCGGCTGTGTATGAGGGGGTCGCGGGTCACTCGGTGGTTGCGTGAGCGGTTGTGCGGGAGTCTGAACTTCACTGTGCTGGTCTGCCTGTCGGGTAGGGTTTGGCTTCAGCGTCTGTTCGGTTCGGCGGGAGATGCGACATGTGTTGTCCGGTTGCGGCTCTTCGCCGTTACCTGTGTGCCGTGGTTGGGGATGCGCTTTGGGTTGATCTGGTTTCCCTTGTTCCCTGTTTCAGGGCTCAGGTCTCCCAGGTCGTCCACAATTTTCTTTAGTCTACCAGCCTGCGGTCTATCCTTGCGCCCGTGCCATTCGGACGTTTGCAGCTTTCGCTGCCGTGTTTTGTGATTTCTTGGGCTCAATTCGGGCACGAGGATTTTAGGGTCGCACAGGTTTCTGGCGGCCTATTTATTTGTTAGCGTGTCATCTCCTGTGCATTCTTGTGTTGCTTTGGGTTACAGGATGCTGCCTGTTGTCTCGACTTCGCGTTGCGGAGTTTGTGGCGGCCGCCTCCCAGGTCAGCCCTTACTTTTCCTTCTTTTCGGGTATGAAGCTCCAGGGAGCCATAGGGGCTCCCGACAGAAAACTAGCGTTGAATGTAATGAAACGCCATTTTCTGGGTGAGCCCCGGAGGCTCCCTGGCAACCCTCCCTCCCACCGGTCGGCATTTTTTTCGCGTTGGTTAAAGCTTAGTTTCCGAACTAGTGTTAGGCAGCCCACGCGGTGAGGTCTGAGCGGACAATTGGCGCAGCAGTAAATCGTGATGTTTGCTTGTTTCCTTGGGATTGTAGGGGTTTCTAACTCTCTGTTTGGTTTTTGTTTTAGTTTCTTACCATGTGGGGTTTGTTTTATTGTACCTACCTTTCTGGGTGTCTAACCCCATTCAATGGCAAATAAGGAAAACCCCAACCACAAGGGAGAGTTCCAGGGCCATTGTTCTCTGAAACCTCTCTGAAGGGGGCCAGGTTCGGGCACTGGTCCCTGGTAGGTCTGATCTCCATAGCTAATGTTCTTGTCTAATATAACATACATTAGCCCAATAAGCTCCAGGAAGCCTCCCAGAACTCACCCAGAAAACTCACGGGACTCACCCAGAAAATGGTATTTCATTACATTGAACACTGGTTTTATATAGTTTGAGTGTTGTAGGAGCACATTTTATATAGCATGACTTTGATATGATTCAAGTGAATGTGAATATTGGTTATTATGAGGAGAAATAATGGTCAAATTTATCTAAGGAGTTATACAAATTAAGTATTATTTATAAATTTATTTATACCTTTATTAAATCAGTCAAATAAAATATGTTTTTGTTGGTTCTAATATATGTGGAAATATTTGCTTTATTTTTCTGTGTAATATTTGTTAAAGTAAAATATTTCTTAGTAGTCGTTGTACTTGACGAGTATTATATGTGAAAATAGGAGATGAAAGTGAGCACTGCGTGGCGGGCTCGTCATGCTTCAATGATTCCACTCTTCACGGAGACCCAAAGCAGCAGCGAGTCGTCCATGAGCTCATTACTCGGCCTGACCCAGGGAAGTGATGCTAGTGAAGAGTCTGGCAGTCTCGGTGGTGTACAAGCCACACAAGCCAATGTCTTTTCACCAACTCAACATCCAGGTATTACTTAATCACATGATAGATCAGAGGATGTTTCAAGTATATGTTAGACACATATATATGAAGGGGTTTGAGTTGATACAAATAGGAGTTAATTTGTAAGGGGCCAATATGCTTTGTGCCATTTTTTTCTGGGGGGAGCCCCTACGGCTCCCCAGAGCTATCCATGGCTGATATGGATACCCTAACTATTTTGCATCAGTCAATGTGGGTGGAGTTCTAGGCCTACCGGGGACCACGAGCCAGAACCTGGCCCCCTCAGAGAGGCACGGGGAGCAATGGCCCATAGAAATGCACATGTGATTTGGAGCATTCTATATCTGCCATCGACCGGGACAGGCACCCAGAAAGGTAAGCGCCACAAAACAAACCCCTATTCTGGTTAAACAACAAAAATCGACAAACGAGTGGACAGAACTCCCCCAGGAAAACGAACTAACAAGCATGACGTCACGCGAGCCGCGCCGCATGTCTGCGCAGCTCCCCCCTCCCCGGGAGGGGGAAGGGGGAGCCCCAGACCCCCGTGCCGGCGATCCCCGCCCCAGTTCCTCGGCTGATGGGATCATGCACGGTCGTGTGGCTCCAGCTCCTGTCTTGTCTCAGTGCTGTGACTTGTTTGCAGTGCTGCTCTTACGGTGGTCGTGTGAGCTGGGAGTAGTATTCTCAGGTACTCGGGCTGCATGTGCTTAGGGTCACTTTCCCTGAGTGCCCTGTAAGTACCGCCCTTGGGGCTTGGGGTTGCCTTCCACAAGTCACCTTGGGTCTACCTCTGTTGGCTTTTCGCTGCTTGGTGTTTGGCCGCCCCGAGGGTTTGGAGGTTTCACTCCCTTGCTTACCTTGGGGCAAGTGGTAGTTATCGCACTGGTGGGGCACAGGGTACTGCGTAGCTAGTTTTCACCTATGACAGCGGCCGGCTCTGTTCCTTCTGGGTACGTTGTCCACTTGTGTGGTTTTTCTTTTATTTTTGTTTTTGCCTGGTAGGGGGTCTTCCTTGTGTTTCCCCCCCCCCTTATATTAGGTTCGTTTGTGTGGTGGCACCCCCTGCTTTGCCCTCGCGAGTGGACACGTCCCGTGGGTTCAGCTTTAGCAGTTTGCTTGGTAGTTTGGGGCGCCGGTTAGCAGTACCCTGCCTTGGATAACCCTTAGCAGACCCAGTCTAGGGGCCCTGGGAAACCCCCCGGGGGCTCTCGGGTCCGATAGTGGAGACCCTTGCGTCCCCTCTCGCTTTGGGCGAGTTGAGGGTTGCTCTGTCCCTTTGTCTCAGGGTGACTCTCCCTGTTTTTGCCTCCGTTATGCTGCCTGTTGGGTCGGTGACACATTCGACCCTTGAGTCCTGCGAGCTTTGTTGCTTGTTCGTGACTCCATTCACCCAGTCTGCTGATGAATTCCCATGGGTGCAGGCAGCTCGCGCCTTGCAGGGTAGGATGTTGCAACGCGCTCTGGTTTGTCGCTTCCCCGGACGCCCCGATGCTGCCCCGCTTGTGTAGGGACCCAGACTTGGGTGGTTTTGGTCGCTTCACCCTTGGTTCCTTCAACGCCCTTGTTTTTCCCCCCTCCTGCTTCCGGCCCCTACGCATCTGCAGGCTTCAGGGTTGGGGGCGGGGTTAGAGGTTCTGAGACTTGGGCAGTTTCGGGGGTTGCCCCGTCCGGGGTAGCTGCGGAGGCATTCGAGTCTGTTCCTCCGGCCGATGCTCCGGGGTTTTGACCAGTGGGCCCCCTTCTCTTTCAGCTCTCTCGGCTGCCCCGACTTTTTCTTGTGAGGCCGGGGCTTTGGAGGTCGACTCGGCCCTGGGGCCTGGTGCAGAGGCTCCTGGGGTTGGGTAGGAGCGACCTTGGGGGCCTTGGGCTCCATTGCGCCCCGCCTGGATTTCCGTCCTTCTGAGCGGGGCTTACTGTTACAAGGAGTGGGGTTTTCTTTCCTCCCTCTGCGTACGATTTGGGCTTGGGTTCTGCTCCTCCCCGGGTTCGGTTCTGTGTCCCTGTGGTTTCTTTGGTTCCGTCTTCAGGAGGTTTTCGGCTAACTGCATCTCTTCGCCTGCGATGCGGTTGGCCTTTGCGGCTTCCTCCTGCGTGTCCCAGAGTTTGCCTCCATCCTGGTTCCTTCTGTTCTGGACAGGTTGGGCTCCTTGTAGCTGTTTGGGCTCCTTGTAGCAGTTTGGGCTCCTTGTGGCAGTTGGGCTCCTTGTAGCCATTTGGGCTCCTTGTGGCAGTTGGGCTCCTTGTCGCCGTTTGGGCTCCTTGTCGCTGTTTGGGCTCCTTTGTGGCCGTTTGGGCTCCTTTGTGGCCGTTTGGGCTCCTTTGTGGCCGTTTGGGCTCCTTTGTGGCCGTTTGGGCTCCTTTGTGGCCGTTTGGGCTCCTTGTAGCCGGTTGGGCTACTTCTCACCTTGTTGGGCTACTTCTCGCCTTGTTGGGCTCCTTTTGCGCCTGGTTGGGCTACTTCGTGCCTGGTTGGGCTACTTTCTTTCGCGTCCTGCGCATGCACCGTGGGAGTTTGTTTTGGTTCCGGGCGGTGTGCACACGTGTTCTGCTCCAATTCTCTCGGGGGGCTTCGCCTCTCGCTCTTTTCTTATTCCCATCCGTGCCCCGTTGCTTTAGGGGTGTTCTGGGGTGCCACTGTGTGGAATTCATGAGGTTTTTTCCCTGCATTCTAGGGTGGGGAGCCTCCTTCGCTGCTCCCCTCCTCCTCTCCAGCATGGGCGCACTGGCTTCCTCTGGCGGATACGGACTCGAACACTTGCGTCATGGCCCTTCAGGGCCTATGTTCTGCAGGTGAGTTGGTGCGGTTTTGGCGTCTCCTTCGTCCTGACGCTGTTTTTGTTTTTGGGAGTAGGAATGGGTGTACATACGTACTTGTGAACATGGACCGTATCCCCCGAGGTGCCTACTGCAGGGCTATTAGCCCATACTGGGCAGCTCTTGTTCTCTCCACCTGATTTGGAATCAGGATTCACGTATGGGATGTGGATGTTAAGTCACTGCTCACCAATGTGCCATTGAATGAGATAATTGCAGTGATGACGGGCAAGGTTTATCAGGATTCAGTACACGCACTTGACGTCTCAGAAAGCACACTTAGGCATACTAAGCAAAACACATTAGGCCCAATAAAATTGTAACATGAACTTTGGAGAGCAAATTTTTCAGCGTCTTTCCCAAGTGAAGAACACAAGAGTTACAGAAAATTCATGCTAGAACCTTATACAGTGTACTGTATAACCCTTTTTGCCATATACAGTAACACATGCATATACATAGAGTATGTATTTATGCCTTAATATATGTTACTTATGTATATGCATACTTTAATAGCGAACAAGACATAAAAGAACATACCGTGTTCCTCGGTTCACGGGTGTCTGCGGGTGGCCTCTTGTCCTTTCCGAGGCGGTTCCTGCCTGTACTCCTCCTGCCCCTCTCCTATGCTTGTCTAACCTTGCTTGAGTTCGGGGCCCCGCTTCCACCTTGTTCCGCAGTGCAACGGTGGGGGTGCCTGTTTGGTGGTACGTTTTCCTGTGTCGTAGGTTTTGTGTTCGCCTCCTTGTGCTTGCAGGTTGGGTTCTGGCTTTGTTTCCGCCTCTTCCCTGTCGTTTGCCTGTCGGGCGGATTCTGTGCTTCTTGAGCACTCTCATCTCTGTTCTTGGGGCGGTGTATGGGGTCAGCCCATGTTGGGCTGCCTAATATGTTCCTTTGATTGCCTGTTACACTGCACACGTTTCTTCGTCCTTGTGGCTCTGTTGGGTGCTCAGTTTCCGCCTGTGTCCCCTTGTGTGCCACTCGTGTACGATTTATCTATCTTCTCTGTCGCTTCCTTGGGGAGTGTGGAGACTTTTTGCTGCAGTTTTGGTACTGCAGCTGCGTGTCGGGGTTGGTTGTGGCGTTATGTTCGGCCTTTCCTTGTCGGTCTTGCTGTGCCGGGCTTGGTTTTTCTATGTTCCTTGGATTCTGTCTTGTCCTCACCTCATTGTGCTGGCTGGGGATGAGCTTGGGGTCTTCGTCTCGCCCCTCGCCTATCCTCCGGTTTCGGTTCAAGTTCCAGAGCCTAGTGGGCTCCCTTTCTTCGTGTTTTTCACGGCTGCCCCAGGGTTTTTCTTGACGCTGGAGCTTTGAGGGGACAGCTCGGCCCCGGGGCCTGCAGGATGGGTTCCCGGGGCAAGGGTGGGGCTCACGTGAGGGGCCTCAGGCCCCGTTGTCCCCGCCGGGGTCTTCTACCCCTCGGGGAGGGACTTGCAGTTTGTGGTGTGGGGTTTTCCGTTCCCCCTCTCCACACTTGATTTGAGGGCGTCGGCCCCTCCCTGGGCTCGGTTTCCTTGTCCATTGTGCCCGTTGTTTCCATCCTGTCGGTGGGTGCTTTTCTACGATCTTTGCCCCTTTTTTCCGGGACGGGCCTTCTCCGTCATGTCCGCCTCTTCTTGGGGTTTCTGCATGACTTTTGGTCTCGGGTGCGACAGGGTTTTGGTGCCTTCGTCCTTTGTGTTTGCTCTTTTTGTTCTCGAAGGTTCGAGATGGTTTTGTTCCTTCCCGTTTTCTGGTGCGTCTGTTGTCATTCGGTTGAGCTTCCCTCCGGTCCTTTCTAGGGCTTGTGGGTCCTCTTCCCGGCAGCTTCTGGGTGTTGGCCTTTTTTTCCTTTTGTGAATATCTCTTCACACTGTCTCGGCGCTACTAGTTTTCCTGGGTGCGATTTTGCTCCTCTTAATGAGTCTTTTCGCTCCTGCCCTTTTGCGGGATGTTGGTGCGGGGCGGCTCCTTATGCGATTTCCTTCCCTGTCAGCTGCCCTTGTGGAGGTGGACTTGCACACTTGTGGTGTTTTCGTTTTGGTCCTGCGTTTTCTTTTCCCTCCTGGGGCTCATGGGATTGGCTTGCGGTGGATGTAGAGGTGGTTCGGGCAGTTCCTGGGTCTGGCGCCTTGGTTTCTGCTGCTAGCTTTCGGTATCGATATTCCTTCTGCGCCGTTTCGCAGGTCGTATCATGCGTTGTTACACCTCCGTCCTGCTTCTGCACT